ATCACTTTTAGAATTTGTCTTAAGCCATTCACAGTACTTTCTAAAGGTTCTTCGACCTCTTAGAACAGGATTTCTGAGTACAGTATATAAATTTATAACTAGATTCAATTGGACCTCTGCAAAAATACTTCCCCCTTGCTACGTAGCTCCATATTAACAGTTCATAGATTAAAGAAACTCCTTATTTCAAAAGTAAAAAATACTCAGAAAAGTTACAATAAAGAACACACTCAACCTTAACGTTTCAATTCACTGATCATTCATATTTAAACTCAAAATACGGTACATTGCGGTCTTAAAGCACCAGCATCAGTGTGCATCAAGCATTGACTAAATGGTTGAGATCATGAAAGAGCTAGATTAAAAATCCACAGAAATAATTCTTATCATTGTCTTCGGTTCAAGTTCAATATCTTTTTTTAGGCTGACTTGAAAAAAAAAATCAATTTCAAAATCAGATTCCTTCCAAGGTGCAAAGAAAGGCTTGAAAGGTCCTTCTGAACTTCAAACGCATCTTTGTAAAAGAAACTAAAATTATTTAAAAAGTACCTTTTGGCTATATTAAATATTCTCAATTTTTGCTTTAAACTAACCTCGATTGTTGTTGTAGTAATATTTCATTTTCACAGCAGAACGTAACTTGAAGTCATGCAATATTGCTGCAAAGTAGAACAACTGATCCACAACTACCTGCTTTCTCAATTCTGGTAGTGTTAGTCTTTTTAAAATGTCAAAAGCAAATTTAAATTGCACACTACTTCAGAGAGTTATTACTTTAAATAGTTTATTGAAACATTTCTTGAAAATATTTGAGCCCCTTTTTAGATACAGAACTGCCAGACTGCCAACCTGTCTGATTTTATAACCAAGTTTAATTAATCAATTAATTTCACGTTTCAGTGCACCCTCATGATTGAATAGGTAGTACTAAGGGTCCTCTTACTTTTTACAAACAAAAATATTGGATGTTGGCTGATTTTTAAACATACAGTAAACAATGACATAGTAGATGTTTGGGTTATTTTGTCATTTCTCAAATGAGGATAGTTTAAATAGTAGTAGTAGTAGTAGTAGTGTCCACCAAGTCCTAAGAGTATCATATACTATTATGGATTGGTGGGGACGAGGTGAAGGTCATATATGTCTAAATACTCTGTTAAACAATAAGATCGTAAGGAGGTGCATTTACTTTTTCACCACACTTTGTGTCACTTACAGTGAAATTAATAGATAGATAGATAAGACTTTATTAATCCCGTAGGGAAATTGATGTGTTACAGCAGTCCAGCCCAAGACAAGCAAAAACAGACATCAGAATAGTTATAAAACAAAAGACATAGGTGTGTGCAAAATGTGATGATCATAGTCACTGTAAAAACAATCCAATATGTGCAAAATGTGCATAGGTTTTATACAGACTGATTTTCAAAAAAAGTACAATGGAGCAAACATGCTGTCCAGAGACGAGCAAATAAAGGGCTAACAGTCCTAGCCTAGGGCATTGACAGTCAATTTCAATATGTGACAGCTCTATTTAATTTTGTTTCAAACTGCATATGAGTAAGCTGGCTATAGCAGAATTTGTGTTAATGATACTAACCCTTGATCACACTGGCTATTCCATCTCTTGTCCTATTCTTTCTTCAATTTTAGGAAGCCCTGCAGTGGTTAGTCTGTGGCAAATAACAGTCCAGAATACATTTATGTACTGTATTTGGGACCAGATTCAATGTTATCAAATACAGCTCCACATTTGAAGAATCTCCATATTTTCCAATAGTGAATTGATAAAATACTGAAAAATAATTCAAAATACAACATTGATTTCAGACAACAAAGTTCTTCTTAAAGTAGCAGTGGTATCTGAAGAGATCATGTTTTAATGATTTGTAAAAAAAGAACAACAAAGTCTGGCCTTTACTTTAGATTCTCATTTACATACCTAATCAGCAAACTACTGTATGTATTGCAGTAAGATAATAATGGATTTGCCCAATTTCTGTAGCAAGATCTTTACATAAATTACCATTAGCAGAAATCATACTTTTCTATTCCATTAGCAATGCTTTCTTGAACTCAAAAATTTGAAATTCGTTTTCATTGTAAAGCAGATGCTTTGCATACACCTTTCATGGTATAAGAACAGAGTTTTGATATTCACCCTTAAAAATGGATGCACATAAGTATTTTTCTATTGAAAAAGATCAGTGTCACACTCATTCATTCTTTTTCGTATAGTTTATAGGAACGTACACAAAACATTTCTGATAATCCATGTAAAGGTCTTTTCAACCATGACTACTCTGCAAAAGTATGAATGCATTTTATCATTTATCTTAGAAATTCATGTAATGAAAACCTTCATTTTGGTGTTGTATCAGTCTTTCAATAGAACAGCATTCATCAAAGTGACTTTCCGTTTATGTACTGGATTCCGACAATTGTTGATAAGTGATTCTGTTATCATATACCTTGACACAACACCTTGAATGTAATACCATGCAATGTGACAGACCGATCCTTACATTGGTCTCTAAACGATGGTTTGGAAGATATGCAAATCTTATCATTCTTATGAGTGCCAATTTTTCATCATGAGAAATTAATCAAGCAGAAGATGTTACTTAGGATTCATATGATGTCTTTCGGTCAGGTGATTCACAGTTAAAACACAACAATTCATTTTCATGTTGTTTAAGTGCATCTGAAAAAAACAGTTGCTGTTTCCTGCCCTCATCTACTGTACATCAAGTGATTGATAAATATAATAATATAATAATCTCCAGCTTTGCTCCGTCAACATTAAATATTCCTCGGCGGCACTGCAAAACTTCTTCTCAAACTGAAGAATAAACTTGTTAAATCTACTTTGGGTCGCTCTTTCATTAGGAGATATCCTTGCTTGGGATTAGGAAATGTCTTGGTTCTCAGCCAGAAAAAAAAAATTGAGTAATGGAGTATTAAAGCAAAAGGAAAGTTGTTATTCTTGGGTCTCAACTCATGAATGGGGTTTATGAAGATTGAAAGTTCAGCCCTATAATTGGTAAATCGTTAGTTTAAGTGGGGTTTAAGTCAATAATGGAATGTAACATGGAATCCAGAAATGTGCAGGTAGAGTTCTGAAGCCTTGACTAACCAGATACTAGCTCACATCTCCTCAACCAAGATTTATTACTGCTGTTACTGCTAGACCGACTGGCAGAGAAAAGAGGCAACACAAACAAATATTAAACAGCTATTTACACCTGTAGTGAACATATTTTTGGACATCAGCAATTGGACAACTTGTGGGGTCTGTCTGGTCACTTTCAGAGCAGACTTGAACGTCCTTATGAAGGTTTATGTCTTTAAACCTGCAAAGTTGTTTAGTAGGTTTTGCACATTTTTACCATGCTGGTACCATACACCTGTTTTGTGTTTCGGGGGTCACCCATGATTTCTAATCAGCTTTTTCCATAGATTAGAAGCAAAAAAAATGTGAAAGATGCCACTCCCATTCATATGAAAAAGGAGTAAAGTGCACTCACAAATGTTATTTGTTTTTCCCTCCTGAGAATTTAGTTCATCTCTTGACCCGTGGTTTAGACCTGATATCTCTTTGTGTGGCACTGAGCCCACTATTCATGGTTAACTTATTTCTGCAAAAATGTAATACATTAGGGGTATCTAAATCACAGGATTCTGAGTTAGGAAACTAGGGTGCAATCATAACTGGGTAAGAGTTTAGACAATCACATTTTTACTAGTTTTAAAGATCAGGCACACTTTAAATTGAATGTTTGTGTTGCTCAGTGCAAAAGACAGACTTTGTGAGGGGGAGCCAGGTCTGAGAGTAAAACTCTTCATGGTGTGCTGGGAGATAAGAGTTGAAGAAGCGGGCCACAGTCTAGGTTGCTAAGCAACGGGTCTTGGAATACTCTGGGAAGAGACAGTTAATGGAGGAGTTAGGGTGGCCTAAGGGAGGGAACCTGTTGCTTCAGGCACTTTATTCTTGTTTCTCTCACACGCCCCATCTCAACTCAGATTAACTCCATTGAATTTCTTTTACAAGAATCTATATGTCACTATGTGCAATGGTGTACTATAAAAGTATTAAAGCTCTGCCAATCCTAACTAGCTAAATAACTTTGCACACGCCTCTGCAAGGGTGTCTTTATAAAGCCACGTTTGCTTTGTCAGCTTTCTTTTGCTGAGTACACTCTTTACACGATGTATAGTGAGAGGGCGGTCTTTCAGTGCTGTAATAAAGATGATCAGCTTTGCTCTACTGTCCCTGTGTAGCCCACCCTAAACGACCATACCTTCAAAATTCATTTGCAAGGCATATGCTACAGTATACCCTATGTACTTCCAAATGAAAATTATTTTGAATGCTGCTCATATCAATTTTAATCTTGGAATACATTGATACAAAATTACATACTGTATGTTCTGAGAATGCTAGATAATTGCTTTCTCTTTTAGTATAGTCAATAAGATTTTAGAACTAAATATATCAACTGTGCCTTAGTGTATTTGCTTCGCCAGCAGCTACTGTATATCACCCTGCAGCTCATAACTGGCTACCCACTGAAGCTAAATAGGGTTGAGGCTGGTCAGTACCTGGATGTGAGTCCTCCTGGGAAGCTAGTAGTGTTAGTGGTACCAGCAGGGGGTTCCCAACCTGCGACCTGTATGGGTCCTAATGCCCCAGTATAGTGGCAGGGAACAGGGATATAGCCAGGAATTGATTTTTGGGTGGGCCTGCGCAAAAGTGGGTGGCCTGGGCTCTAACTGACCGTCATGCCAGCATAGGCGCACCCTTCCAATTTACAATCCAATCCTCACGCGGTATAGTCAAACAGCAGAAATAGCGAAACAGTATAGTATACTGTATACATACTGTCTCTATCTCTCTCACACACATAGGTTAAACAACAATTACCTAGGCTGCCGAACGCTACTGTGCCACGGCGGACACACACTCAAAAAAACAGTGTTAAAGTGCCTTTAGTGCCTACCTGTTGTGAGGTTTTGGCCTTCTACACCAGACGCTGAATACTGTATGGCGAAAATCTCTCTAAACTCTAGAAATTCGGCAAATTCCCGTTCAAATGACAGCTAGTTTGCAAAGGTCTCTCGGATGTAGAGTTTGTCTTTAGCTGAAAAAAAAAAGTTGCAAGAGCTCATTTTCACTTGTTGCTTGTAACAGTTCTAAGTATTTCGTATGCCTGCTTATAGATAGTTCAGTAGTTTTACGAGTTACTCTGAAGTTAATATTTTATTGCAAAACACAATTAACACAATGCAAAACGCAAGATTAAAAATCCGTCCGAAATATTGTATTTAAAATTCCATGCAGGGCTTACCTTGCCTTTAAATATTCAGCGGACTTTAGCATTACAAATCAGAAGAACGTGCACGCACGTGTGGGTTTAAGAGGTTGGAGTAAATGCATCACCCCACGGGTAATAGCGAGTGAGCGCCATGAGAATAAAAACTGCGAAGCTATTAAAATATTAAGTTCTGAAGATTTTGTTTGATCCTTCATGATTATTTTAAATTTATATGAAACCCACGAAATTTATATTCTTTTTTCGATCCCAAAAGACACTTAATTTGGAAATTCGGGACGTACTTCCAAAAAGAATTAACACTGGATTGGCATAGTCGCATTACAATGCTAACCAATTCATCGTACCTTTAATTAAAATAATGGTCTTCTAATAAAAGCGTCAAATACATACTTTGGATGTATTTTAGCTCTGTAAACGTCGTTCACTTAAAAATACTGCAGGGCATTTAGATGCGATACGAACAGTTATCTGTAAAATGCACACTCGTATCTATCCGTAAATACTATCTTAATGTTATTCATGCATTCCAAAACTTCTAATTTGTTTACAGGAGAAAGTTTAGAACCTCTTCGTGCTTAGGTAAGCTTCTTTGAAACATTGACTCTATCTTATGTAGTAGAAGAAATGTCCTTTCATGGCTAATGGCTCCAAAACTTCAGAACTTCATCCTGTTTGAACTACCACAATACAGCTCTGGAGTCTAGCCTGTAATACCCTCTATAATATTTCACTGACATGACTTTCTCTGCTTTTAATATACATGCTCACTCAATAACAGCAACAACAGCTGTACATAGATCTGTTTTTCCTTTTAGTCTGTTTGTTTACTGTTTATCAATATCCTCAATATTTTTTTCTAAAACAAAGCATAAACGATTGAGGAAAAAACATAAAAACAAATATAAACACAAAGGAACAAAAGTGGAGGGTCTCCAAGTGTCAAATATACCATTAAAAATATTAATGAGTAGTACATAAGAGCTGAAAGGCCCTTTGTCAAAACGGGTGGTATATGGAGATGGTATAGTGAAGAATGCTAATGCTAAAATATTCCTTTGTTAATATACTGCATGTGGGTAAGATCAGGATTAATTTTTATGTTGCATTCCTAGTTATAGCTGGCTTTTACTTCCATATGGTGATGCATTTTTTTAAGTTAATTTTAACTAGGAACTGAAATCTGATTGATCCTAACTTTCTTATCCTTAATTTTATACCAAGTGACGCATGACCCTCTTGCATTTTGTTCTCATCTGAATTAATTTATAGTTATGGGATTGCTTTTCTTGCTGGAGGAATGTTTTTGCTTTGATATGTTTGACTATTGGAATGGGGGCAATCGTGTTTTGTTTTTGTGTCATGGCAACATACTGTACTGTATGTGTTATGAATTTGACAAGGGCAGGGGACTATGTAGAGATGGGTTCCTAGTTGGGGTCGTGTCTCTTCATGTGCAACCTTTTTTGGGGATAGATTCCCTCTTTAATTGCTGTTGAGAATGTGATCCAAGAAGCAAGGTAAACTATTTAATTTCTGTCTTGATTACCCTTTATTCAAACTTTCCCATCGCAGAGTACTGTGGTGGTTGTACAAAGGAGGTTGTACAAATAAAACCAATGAGCAGAAGCAGAGATGTACTGTAAGCGGGTTGAGAGACAGGATCGAGGTGACTCTTCCGTTAAATTACTTTATTCACTTTAATGCATACAGAGGTGGTAAAAGGAGATGCAGAAGAGAGTAGAAGAAGAAAGGGAGGTAATGTAACAGAAAGAAGAAGCTTGCCCGGTGAGCGGACTTGTTCTGGTCAGTCTTGGAGACCATTTTCTGGCCAAGTTGTTTACGAAAGCTTGCCACCCTGCAATACTACAGTACAGTAGGTCACTCTGATTTCCTTTATTATGGAATTCCCAGGCTAAAGACATGCTCTCCTAGCTGGTGATGCATTTTTACACTAGGGAGATAGATTCCCATTCACTTCTAGGCATCCAAGTTTTAAGATAGAAGATTTAGCACACTGGGTCATATTTAGTTACTGTAAGGTACAGTATTTCTCTTGTTGGCTTGGTCAGTCGTTATATAGGATTATACTGTACTGTAGGTTTCAGGGTTAAAATTCTGGGTGTCTGGGTCTGTAGAGCATTATACTCTGAAATGCCTTGTTTTCTGTGTAAGTTTTATGTTGTTAGGTTTGTATTTGAGAACAGCACCTATGAAATCCTTCCATTTGGTCTGTCAGTGGATCTCAACATACTGTATACTCAGATTTCACAGACATGGTCCTTGCTCTGCTTTGTCTGTGAGGCATCTGCATTTTGATTTAACCAGACCACTGGCTGGTGCTTGCGTTTTCAAAAGTTGAAGTAATGCACCACCTGATGCAGGTGATACACTGCTTCTCTAATTTTGGGCTATCAGGTCAGATTTTTCCAGTGCACAGTCAATTCCATTTAAAACAAAGCAGGCGATCATTGCCCTATTCAGTTATTTAGTTGATCTGCTCTGCATTTGAAGCTGTAACAATGAATCGGGATAACAGCAGAATAACAGTCCATTAGAAATGTCACGGTTTCACTGAGGGAAGCTAAAGGTACTCTATGCTGGTGGATTGGATCTGTGCGGATTGGTGTGCGAATCACCCGTCTGTGATTCCAACAGATTTGAATTAGATCGGAAGGAATTGCCTCAACAGCTTGAATGAAGTACAAAGCAAGGGAATACTTTTTCTTTCCCTTTCAAGGGGACTGTGAGTCATATTGGACTTCGGCCAGAGTTGTGTTTTTTTATATTATGTTTATACAAGTGAGTAATAAGGAGGGAACACTGGTGTTTTCACTTAAGAGTCATAATGGTTACAGATTCGGCAAGTGTAGGAAACAGAATGACAAAGAGCTCCCCTATTTTTCTAGTTCTTATTAGGGGAACTACTTTTGTTCTTATTGCTGTTTGGACTAGGGGTGCTAATCATTAAGGAACAAGCATAAAGACTTCTATTATTTTCTCCACTTTTAATTATCAGTTGCTATGCATGCTAAAAACATGAAGTAATCTTTGACATTGGATTTGATTTGTGACACATACAGTAAGACTAATGTTTCTATTTTGTCCTGGATTGTATTAGGGCTAAATCTTCCAACCAAATTTGTGTACATTTCCCAAAATATAATACAAATGTTTAGATTTGCTAGAAAGCATAAATATACAAGAGTGACCCAGAAATTAATATGCCTCTTTTATTTCTCATTCACACTAATTGATGAGGAGGTCTATGTATGAATATTTTAACTCTGTGCAATAAGAAACTAAAAACTTAAAGCACAAAAACGTATAGTCTGTGTCTTCATTTGTATCACTAAAAGTTTATATACAACCCCTTCACCAATGGTGATGTCAGGCAAGATGTGTTCTTTGCTGCTTGCTATTTCCGGAGATGCTTATTACAAACGCCTACTTTCACCTTTGTTGTTTGTCTTTGAATCGTTTACTTCAGGCTGAGTGTCTACTATTTCTACTCTTTTTGCTGTTAATAATACCCAACATTGTACACTCTTCTATGCAAAACGTATAATGTAAAATGCTGACCATGCTTCAAAATCTGTGCCTCAGCTGTCTGGTCCTTTCTACACAATTAATTAGTCCATGTGTGCATTATTACTGTTAGATTTTTCAACAGAGAAATTCTGATGAAACACTTTAGATACCTTGCTACGGAGACTTACTGTACTTTTTTTACATGCCACCATGGCAAACAACTCCTTTGAATAGATGGACTAATTTTCCCAATTTTCCCTATTCTCTCCATGCTCACTTTAAATAATTAAACATTAAATGCATTAAACAAGTCAATGATGTTCAATAAAACACTTCTACAGTATCTTCCCCTAGCAGGATTTAGGAACCTAACCTATTGCTGAGATTTCCAACTCACCCATAGGGGAATTAGGGGTTGTAATTTTAATCCTTAGTTCTGCATTGGTGGTTTAGGGTCCTGCTCTGGTCTTATGTCTTATGAGGGTCCTAACTTTGGAGACTAATGGCCAGGCGGTTGGCCCTCAGCCAAGCGGGTTAAGCCAAAGGTTTTTATGCCACTAAACTTTCCTAAATACATCTTATTATTGTATTTTATTTCTCCATGTGAAGCTTTTGTTTATTTTGAGATGCCACTTCTTGGTGAAGGTGGTGAAGATACTGTAGTTGGGTCTCTTCATAAAGATTTCGGTAATCTCTCTTGTTCTTTTTCACATTGATGTAACAAAATGATTCGCGTTTCAGCAGATGTTTTTAATCAGGGTGGCATTTACAGGAATTGCAATCTTTATAGCTAAACAATGTAAGCTATAGCTTTCTGGCTTCTTACTTATTTTACTTATGTCTCTTATGTAACTGTACTTACACAATCCATAATCTGCTTGATCTCAGGGGCATTCAAAAGGATTTGACTCCATAGTATGTGTTTTTTGTTATTTCAGGCTTGAGACAACCCCTTATTTTAGGTTGAGATTTAGAATAGGGTTTTAAAATTCAGAGATGAAGCTGGGAATCTGCAGCTCATTCATTGTATGTGTATCTCCAATGCAAGAAGTGTGGGATGGGTATTGTTGTCATCACAAAAACTAATCCTGACCCTTTCCTTACATTCCCTTTCAAAATGTCTTAACTATTTTTGCACCAGACTATGAATACCTTTACATTGGTAAAAAATGAATTCAATAGAAATTTTCCGTATGAATGAGGAATTTGCTCCTCATTCAAACCCATTGCATTCTTCATACTGAATGTCAATTTCATGTGTTATGTAGGGAAGGAAAAAAATCTCCTGCTTTCAGAAATATCACTGTAGCTGAAACAAGATTTGTGTTGCTTCAAATGCATCTTTGACAAGCAAATTATATCATTGAAGACATCTGCTCTCCCTTCATTTGAAAGGAAATGCCTTCATCATTCCCATTGCTATCCCCCACAAGCCTCATACACACTCAACTGAACTCACAATATCCTAAAGTACTAGTAATAACCAAGCCCACTCTCGCTTGATTTACTGGAGGTTTTGAAAGAGAAGACAAAATACAGAACAGATAAAAAAATAGGAAGGTAAACAAA